GGAGCATCTGAAATTCCTCAGTCAGGAGGCTGAAGAACAGGTGTGGGTGGTGAGATCCACTCTTGTTTCTATTCTTTCCAACACACAAAGGTCCTCCCAGAACATGCAGTGACCCTGCAGCATGCAATTGATGGTGACACTGGTGAAGAACTCAGACCCAGTCACATTCTCCAGTTAGAATGGAGGCTGGACAATCCCAAATTTATACTGAAAAAAAAAAAAAAAAAAAAGACGGCTAGGATACAAGTTTCCCCACCTTCCCAGCAGCCCCCTCGCCATACTGTTCGATTACCAAACAAATAATGTAAATTTTTATCAAATGGTTTGATAGTTTTAACACAGATAATAGGATTCTGAGAGCACACAGGTGAGTGCTGCGGAAATTCACAGCCAAGACGCAGGGCAAACGGCAGGCTGGGCGAGCTTACAGGAAACACACAGCACAAACCCTCAGGCAGCATCTTTGGAGATGTTCTTCTATGCAAAAGGAGTGAACCTAGTATTTGAGGGAGAAGACTAGCATCGTTTTGAGAAAGATTCCCAGAAAAAGAAGGAAATGTTTTATACCTGCTTTGCGCTCTCCATGAATTATAAGGACAATGGGAAATCTGTGAACTTCGGCTAAAAGACGCGATAAGGTAACCAGCGAGATTTAACGGTAGCTGGAGCCGCTGTGGAAGAATGTAATAAAAGAAATACCATCCTGGCAAATTTCTCATGGTGTTGGAGTAGGAGAAGCAGGGGTGAAGTCGCAGAAAATTGGATCAGTGAGACAGAGGATGAAAGTCAGGGAAATGGATAAAGAGACGAACGGTCCAAAAGAAGGCGGGGCTCAGCGGAACACTACGGATGCTCCTTAAACGGACAAACGCCCGCGTCTGACAAAGAGAACAGAGTAAGTGAAAGCGATACAAGAGTCAAAGCTGCCACTGAAGAAACGTTTCCCAGCTGAAGACCTGTGTCTTTACTTCGAAACGACACACCATACTCTAAGTGAAGTAAATAATACAAGGGAGAGCAGGTGAAACGTGCGCGCGGTGCCCCAGGCTGCGCGTGGCGGGTTCCGGAACACGGCTCGCAGGAGGCGCCGCGTGGGGGGCGTCGCGCTCACGCCCTCGCCGGTTCTCGTGAGGAGGCTAGGGTAGGAGAGGAGACAGGACAAAGCTGCGCCCTGGCGCAGGCGGGGCGGGAAGGGCTGCCTGCGGGCGGGCAGAAAGCCGTGCCTGGACCCTTCGCTAGGAAGAGCAGGAAGCCCGGTCCGCGCAGGGCACACACAGACGTGCTGTGGCTGGCGGAGGGGAAAGGAAAAGCCTGCGGCCCTGGACGAGGGGCAGAAACTTCTTACTTCTGAATCATTACAGATTTCCCACTGCCCAGGCAGAGAAAAGATTACTGAGAAAACTCTCCCTCCCGAGATCAGGGAGGCAGAGCCTGCCTGAGACTGAGCATGGAGCAGGACACCACAGAAGCCTTCCACTCCCACACGGCTGCAGGTGCCCCGCAACAAGCTCAGCAGTCTCTCACAGGGGGGTAAGGGCCTGAGGAGAGACCCTAACACTGAGAAAGAAGCAGACATTGAGAAAATTATCTGGCAAAGCAGCCCCTGTCCTCTAGTGAAACTCAGCTTCACTCCTGACTAGACTGAGTCAACCCTAATGGCCAAGCCAAAGAAGAGACATGTTGCTTTCCAAACATAAATATTATTAAGTCAGTATCATTGCCAGAAATGGTCTCATTTCAACCAAAAGATGAAAGAAAGAGAGAGGGAGAGAGAGCAAGAAAGAGGAAGGGAAGGGGAGGGAAGGGAAGGGGAGGAAAGGGAAGGGAAAGGAAGGGAAGGGAAGGGAAGGAAGGAAGGAAGGAAGGAAGGAAGGAAGGAAGGAAGGAAGGAAGGAAGGAAGGAAGACTCATTGTTAGAAAATAAAGCAATCAGATCAAGAATCAGACTCAGATATGATCCAAATGTCAGCGCTATCACACACAGAGAATTTAAGTAACTATGATTAATACGCTAAAGGCACTAATGATAAAGGTGAACAACATTCATGAACAGATGGGGAATTCAGCAGAGAGCTGAAAACTTTAAAAGAAAAACAAAAAAGGGTAACATTTTAACATTTGAAAATGTTGAAATTATGAGATACAGAAAATAAAGTGTGTTTGACATGTTTAAATAGATGAAAGATATAAAAATATGAGTAAAAAGACAGGTGCTATGAAGATTGGAAACCAAATAAAACTTCTGAAAGAGAATATAACAATTGAAATAAAAAACTTAATTGGCAAGTTTAAAAGCAGATTAGATCAGCTGATGAAAAATTTAATGAACTGGAAGAGCTAGATCTGAAGAAATTATGTAGAAGGCAGCACAGAAAGACAAAAAGGCAGAAAATATGAAGAAGACTTTAAAACTAGAGAGGGTATCGTTTAGGTGTGACATATATCTGATCTGTAATCTCAGAATAAAAGTAAGAGAGTTAGCTTTGGTCAGAGACAAGATTTGAAGATATAATAGCTGAGATTTTCCAGAACTGCTGGAAGATAGGGCCCCACATATTGAAGAACGCTGTGAGCACAAGCATGGTAAATAAAGAGAGATCTGCACCTGGACACAGCATAACAAACAGCAGGACAACAGAACAAGAACATGTCTTAAAAGCACCTGTGAGAAGAGACAAATGACTCTGATGGAGTGGCCAGCAACAACAGTGGAAGCAGAAAACATGGAATTACGTCTTCAACATTCTGACAGAAAATAACCATCTGCTTCAAATACTACATCCAGCAAAACCATCCTTCAAATGCAGAGGGAAAGTAAATGCACTTGCAAAAAGCCGTAAACAGAAATCTGGTACCAAATGGAAGAGGTGCGACCGGCTGTGTGGTCTGAAATGAAAGATGGTGCAGGGAGTGCAACACACAGCAAGCACGCGGGGAGAGCGGACCTGCGTGGGCTGTGCAGAGCAGTGACAATCATGTCTCACAGACTGGGAGGAAAACAATCAACACCAAATTCCAACAAATGGCAGCAGGAGTACATACCTCAGGATGAAGGGAAGCAATCAAAGTGTTCTAAGTTCTGAAGGCAACTCCAGAGGGTAAAGCTACTGACTCCTTTCAGGCTTTGATACGAGTTCCTTATTCTTGCATTAATAACCATAACTACTAAAATAATAGAAATATAATAGATAGATAGCTGCCTTGTTAATAGAGGGAGAAAAATAAAATCTGAAAAAAATTCAGTAAGTCCAAAACAATTCATGTAAGGAAATGAAAAGAAACATAAAGCAGGTATGCACTGTATTGTGCATTGTAATACCTCGTGACAAATTACCACGCACTTAGCAGCTCCAAACATCGCACACTTCCGGGCTGGGTTTTGCTCTTAGCTCCTGGAAGCTTCCCTGGTCCCTGCCTCCCACTCGGCTGCTGCAAGGCGGGCGGAGGAGCAACCTCAGGCACCCTGAGGGCGGGAGTCGCTATCCCCACTACTCACAGCCCTGCCCTGTCCTCGCGCAAGGGAGGGTCACACAGGCCTATTCGCCACGTGGGATCTCGACAGCACTTAGAACCTTCCTACCGCAAGGTGGAATGAGGAGGAAGTATCAAATGAAGAGGCGAAATGCAAATTCAAATAAATCGGAAGTTACAACAAAATACCATTATACTTATCAGACGAAGAAAGAGAAGGCTTATTAGTGTTTCCTGTATATGTAACCCCTGCGTGTCACCCCCGTCCACATCTGCCTTGCTCATGCGACATTGTCACTGGCACCTCCCATGTCGCTAGGCAGCTTCCGCACGGCACGCCTCAGCCTTCTGCCTCATCATTTACAAAAGTGTTCCCTGGTGCGGTTTTTCTTACCAATGTCTGTCTGTAATAAGTGTGTTATTAGGCATGTTTTCTCGTACGTTATTTGCTGTTCATCCTTAGGAAAAATTCCATAGACTGGAATTAGTGGGTCAAAGGTTATCAGTCGCGTGGCGACTCTCCCAGCGCAGCACCCGCCCTCCTGAAAGCCCCGGCCCTCGCTGCGCTTTGCAAGCACGGGTGTGCTGCAGCCGCGGGCCTCCTGGGCAGCGTTCACCCGAGAGTAATTCCTTCCTACTTTCAAACCTCATTTCCTCAACTGAGCCGGGATTCATAGAACTAGAGAAACAACCACCAGTTCTCAGGATGGGAGGTTTCCTTTCGCACGTTTGATTCCGAAAAGCTTTGCCACCAGGACAGTGAGGGGGAGCCACCCACCAGCCCCCAATTCCCCTGAAGCCTGGACGGGGAGCCAGGGGCTTCTCTCCCTGTCCACTGCCCGGAGAGGCTGGGCAGGGCCCAGGGGCACACGGCAGGACACACACAGCAGGGAGCCAAGGAGAACACTTGAGGGACCACCCCTTGCCAGCAGCAAGGTCTTTTCCAGGCAAAATGCAACAGTTCAGTTAAGTCTGCACCCCTTTCCCCTGTCACTGCGGAGGGTCTGTTTTCCATAGGATGCAGGGTGGTGGTGACCACTCACAGGGGTCCCAAACCTTCAGAGGCACAGCCTTCACCCTGTCACTGTCCTCCCCCAGACCAAAGGAAACACGACTTACTCAAGCTTTGCACTCGGCACTGGAATACTTTCTAAAACTAATAGAACTCAACTCATATCTTTTTTGATGACCCATTTTTTCCTAACACTGTTGGTCCTTTTACTTATTTGTTTTCTAGCCCCTCATTTTTTAAAAATCATGAAACGAAACCATGAGACTGAAATTCTCCTCTGTCAGCTAGATTGCACCGGCCTAGGCAAGCCCACTCCAGCCCAGGTCTCCGCATCTGAACAAGCAAGAGCTCTGAAGGAACAGAACACTGCAGCAACATTCTGTGAATTCTGGCAGCAAAACTCCTCATCCTTCATGAACACAAGACAACTGTCCCCACAGAAGCAAGCGTGCCACAGAGCCTTTGTGGCACCCGGCGCACCGTCCCTCCCGGCCTAGGAAGCGCAGGTCCTACTCACCCTGAGGGGCGCGGCGGAGGCGGGCCTGTTAGTCCTTAGCAGCAGGGAAACATTCTTCTAGAACAGATCCCATCTCCTCCTCTCTAAGACGAAGGCAATTTGTAATCCAAATCCAAAGGACCTTCTTGGGCGTGTTGGTCCCGGGTCAGTTGTCCCAGGGCTGAGGGGTGGGGAGGAAACAGGCTGACTCTCCCCGGCCCTCTGCGTGGGCAGCCCCACTTATTCATTTATTTTTTCTTCTTCTGAGATTTAGTAGGCGAGAAAAAGGACCATCAAGGTTCAAGTTACCAGAACCTACGGCAGCACGGCCCTCCTCTGCAGGAGCACCAGTGCCCGGCAACACTGAGAAGTTAGCCTACACTACGGGAGAGAAAATGGATTTACAGAATTCTTCCCTGAAAACACGAAGAGTCAGCGGACGGAAGGAAGGGCCCAGCTGTGGGGTGAGAACTCGCGAGCCCGCGACTGTGCCTCCAGCCCAGAGGATGCGGACCGTGTGCCACTTTCATCACGACTTCCTCGCATAGTGTGGCCGCCATAGAGATCGCACACCCAGTGAAGATCAGCATATTTTGACGGCTTTTGTTCCTGGAACAGTCGTCTGTTGTGTGCAGATAGGCCCTTGGTGAGGGCTTTGCAGTGGGTTCCAGCTCAGTGTATTTTTCATTCCCTCCCGGACACTCTGTAGGGACAGTTTCCATCCTAGAAATGCCAGTGTCCCTGTGGGGCCTTGTCCTCGTGGAGGTTGTACGCCTGTCCCTGGCAGCCTCCTGGGGTCGGGGGTCCCTGTGTCGGGGCCGCTTTTCTCGCAGTCTCCAGACGACCTGAGGCTTCTGCCCAGGACTTCGGACCCCCCAACTGTGCCACCACGGACCCCGTCCATGGAACTGCTTGCTCTAAACGGCATTTAGGGGAAGATTTTTTTCTACCTGTGGTTCCTGTGTTGGTTACAGGTTTTGCTCTTCAGGAGATGAGAAATCACAGTGGCAGGAGAACAACTTCTTTAGGCAAAAAAATGCATCTAATAATCAAATTATTTATAAACACATCATGTTGTTCTAAAAACATTAGCCAATGTGTTGAGTGTGGATCCGGCATGGAGGAGGCCAGGCTCCCCGCGGTCAGCTGCCCGGGCGGCGTGGGGGTTCCTTTGTGCCTTTCTCCCAGGCCCTGCCAGCACCTCCCTGGGATCCCGAGCGCAGGGCCTGAGGAAGGGCTGGTGCCTGGAGACGCTGGCTGCGCAGAGCTCTGAGGCTCTGGGGCAATGGGAGGGCCAGGCCCTGGGTCGGGGCTTGTCCCCAGCCCGGCTGCCCCACCGCCCGGGTGCCTGCACAGCTCTGGAGGAGCCCTGCCATTCGCTTTTGCCCTTTGCCTGTTAAGACTTTCTGGGCAGGGTCTTGATCAGTCTTCATTGTCTCTGCACTCCTGAGTAAACAAGTAAAAAGAAAAGAAAAAATGCGGAAAACTGAAAGACAGGAGCGTTGAGCCAGCACACCTGACAGGCACGTGCTGTCTCAGGGACACCCTCCGTGCAAAAGGCCGTCTGTGGCGCGTGGTTCAGCGTGGGGAGCTCATGTGGAAAGTGACAAAGTCAGGATGCTCCGAGGGCTGGCGCCTGCCGAGAGACAGCCAAGCTCACCCAGCAGAGACTGGAAACCGCGCGCAGTCAGCAGCAAATGCCAGCATTGATTCGGGACCTCAAGGAGGAGGCAGGCGTCCTGGGAGTGCGCTCAGGAGGACCAGAGGGAGACGCAGAGGATGCCTCCAGCTCCGATGCGGCAGGACTGCAGGGCGGTCCGGCCCCACCGGCCTCTGAAGACTGTGTGGCCCCAGGTAGCGACAGGGGTGGCGGCTGCAGCTAGCTCAGGTCCACGCCAGCCACGGATCGGGATCGGGCTGTGCTGTGGCCATGGCAGGACCTACAGAGGGAAGATCAAAAACATAGTGAGAGTCAGGAAGTTGTTCTGTAGCAAATTCATATATTTCTGTTTAAAGAAAGGTTAAGCTGGTTATAGCATCTCGCCCCTATGGAGAACTCCCCCCCCCCCCGCCGCCAGCTGCGCCCCATGTAGCAAGAACATCACTTCTTCAGGCCTGATAATGCCTAAATGCGCACACTTTCATGGGGCACCAGTGAACGGACGCCACTAAAGCTTCAGAGTAGCTGAGCCTCTGGTCAGAGCTGGAGGAAGATGGAGACGTTCCAGGCAGGGCTGCAGAAATATACCACTACCACCAAGGAGGGGGCTTTGCCTGGGCCGGACACCTCCACACCGTGAAGAACTCGGGAAACAAAAGAAAATAGGAGATGGCAAAACTATCATTGTTTTAGGAAGATCTGGGATGGCTACCCATCAGGGCATGGCCAGGCAGTGGCTTAGAAGCCGAACAAACAAGGAAGAAGAGGCCCACTTCATACACTAACAAAAATCGTAAAATACTGTTTTGGGGGAAAAAAAACAAACTCTTTAATTTAAAGAGGTTTATTCTGAGCTAAGTGTGTGTAATTGATGGCCCGGAACACAGGTTTTCAAGAGTTTCTGAGAAAATGTGCCCACGGTAGCTAGGTTACAGTTTGGTTTTATATATTCATGGAGACAGGAACTACGTGTAAGACTGTAAGTCATTACGTAGAGGGCATACGTTGGTTTGGCCCAAAAAGGTGGGCCATCTCCAAGTAGGGGCTTACAGGTTATAGGAGGTTTAAAGATTTGATTTGTAATTGGTTAAAGAAAAGAAGCTTTGTCTAAGGTTTGGAATGTTTTAAGTTAAGGTAAGGAAGCCTAGTCTGTGAATCAGAGACAACTGGGGATATTTACTGAAACTCCTGCAGGTGTGCTTTAAGCTTTGCCTTGCATGGCCTCAGGCCTGTTTATGATTTAGTATTTTATTGTTACAAAGAGTATCTCCAGAAGGGAGAAGCACAATGAGGTCTGTCTGACCTCCCTTCTCATGGCCAGCCACTGAGGTTTTTCTGAGGTCCTCTTGGCCAAGAGTCAGCTGGGGGAGGCATTACGATTTTATTTTAGTTCACCATACATATAAATAATTAACAGAAAACTTTAAATGCTCTTGAGAGCATAAAATAAGCTTGAATAAATGAAAGCAAAGTACATCTTTAATGAGATAATACATGAATCATAGAGATGCATGTTCTTTCTACATGAATCTACACATTTAATGTGATGCCAATAAAACACTAAAGTATTCTTTATTTTAGGGAGAAGGATGAGATAAGCTGATTCATTTAGAAAAATAAACACCCAAGAATATCTAAGAATATTAAAAAAAGAAAAACAAGGACTAAGGTAAATTGGTCCTAGTAGACAGTCAAACATACCCTAATGGCATAAGAGCCAAGTACTGTGGCTTGGTACCCGGATAGACAGATCCATGACAGGTTTGAAAGTCTAGAAATAGACCCAAACAAATACATATGGAAATTTAGTATATGATAAAGGTGGCACTTCAAATAAGTGAGGGAAAATGGGTTATTTAAGAAAAGTGTTGAAATAATTGAGTAGCCAGCCGTCCCAGCTTTCACCAGGTTAAACTCCAAGTAGAACAACATTTTAGACATCGTAAATGAAACCACAAAACTAGTAGAATAAATCATAAAATATTTTTAAAAAATCAAAGTAACAAGCTCTTCGTAACTGACTGAAACTGGTAAAAAGAAAAGATCGATCCACTTGACTTCACAAATATGTAACTTTTTTGAATGAAGTTCTCCATCCACAAAAAGTAATACAAACATAAAGGACCAACTGGGAATAATATCCGCAACTTACATCACAAAAATTGTTAATTTCCTCTAGGATACAAAGAGCTCTGACAAAGCAAGTTAAAGAAAAGATTCCCAACTCAATGGTAAGTGTTCAGAGTCCATAAGTGGTTAAATCAAAGAAAAGGAAAAGAAATGGGTCCTCAACATTTGAAACGGCGCCCGGCCTCACTCTGAGAAGTGCTAGCACAGCATTTCCACCCCCAGATGGGAAAGGTAGTGACGAGCACATAAAGACACAAGAAGTCTCCTGCAGTGCTGGTGGCAGTGTGAGTCAGTACAGCTCTACACAGAGCAATTTGGCAACATGCATTAAAATTAGAAATGCTTGCAAACTTCTAATGGCAATTTCACTCTTAGAAATTTGTCCTTCAGGTATCCTTGTATATCTTATTCATTTTTTTGTTATTTCAAAATATTGGAAAACTAAGTCTGCAGCAGAGAATTGGTTAAATATATTATAGAACATTCGTGCAAGGGAATTAATCTATGTAGTCACGAAAGAAAATGAAGAATCCCATTACACATTCTCTTATGGCTGCGCTTTGAAATAAAAATTTAGGCAGGACGTAATGTGTTCGAATATGCTACCTCTGTATATAAAGGTACAGAAAAGAATAAAAATATATTTATTTGCTTTTGTGTGTTGCACATTCTTGAACTTTCTCTGAAAAGACGCCTAAGAAGCTGGTGTAGCTTTGGGAGGGTCCAGGGAGAGGACGTAGGTGGCTGGGACAGAGATAAGAGGAGAGAGACTTGTTTTACCATCTACCATTTTAACAACATGAGCAAGGTGTGGAAGCAGGAAAGGACCACCTAACACAGCACTGGCTTCCGCTGTGGACCTTGCTGCTGCCATTCTCAGCCCCCTCAAGGTCGCCTCCCTCCTTCTCGTGTACATTTTCTTTTATTTCTTGAGTCTCTATTTCTCATTACACAAAACTATATTCTTTTGTTGAATAAAGTCTCATCTACCTTTGTATCAGCCCTCCTTCCCCGACGCCCAGCATGCTGGCCGGCAAACAGCGTTCCTAGCGAAATATCATTGCAGGAGGGATTTACTCTGCTTCCACTTTCTTGATTGGAATGGCCGAGCACCTTGGAGGAGCAGGCAGGTGGAGGAGGTGCGCCAGGTGAGGCTGGTTGTCGGGGACTCACCCTGAGCTGATGCGCCGCCCACAGTGTTCAGGGAGCCACCGGGCACTTCGATGAGTATCTCTTCACCTGCATTAAATCTCTACAACCTTAGTGATGATTTTGTCTGGATTGAGATTTTAAAAAGACCTGGTAAGTTTACTCAGCACGCCTGATGTGAACAGCTGAGAAGTCCATTTCCTGGTCGCCATCCCCTCCCTGGGGCCAGGTGTGTCCTCCTTGACTGAATGGACCCCCTCTTGGACAAGGGGACCTCAGAAAAGCCTGAAAACTGGGTTCCTGGCCGTGAAGGGAAGGGAGGTTGGACAAGCCTCACTATAGCCCCTTCCTTACAGAGTTTAGGGACAACTGAGCAGCATCAGTGTTTAAACAGAGACCACGAGACTGAAAAAACACTCTTTGTGATGATAAGATACAAAATTATTAATGGGACCTAAGGCCATGCAGGGCAAAGGTTAAATCACACCTGCAGGCCAGCAGTCTGCTCAACAGATCTTATATTGTGGCTTGTCTCTGATTAACAGAGGTCTTTAACTTAAAATATCCCACGCTTTTAGACAAAGTTTTATTTCTTTAATCAACTGCAAATCAAAGGATCTTTAAACCCACCTATAACCTGAGACACCTCTTGCCCCTACTTCAAGATGCCCCCCCTTTCAAGGCAAGCCAATATGTACTTTCCATGTATTGATTTATGACTTTACTTCTTCTTTCCCTAAAGTATGTAAAACCAAACTGTAACCTAACTGCCTTGGGACCACTTACTCAAGGATTCCCGGGTTGGGCTCCCTGGGCCACAGTCACACACATTACTCAGAATAAAACTCCTTAAATTATCATACAGAGTTTGGGTTTTTTCCTTTAACGATGGATTTGATGGTTGGAGCCTCAGCAGCCACTTGGAACCATGAGAGCTGGGGCCACCCCCGGGGGTGGCAAGCAGAAATCATGAAAGGTTTTGGATTCCCATAGACCATGTGTCTGCCATACTAGTTCTGGGTTGTCCAGTTTTACATTTCTTTTCTTTTCTTTCTTTTTTATTGTTGGGTCTCCATTTCTAGGTGCTAAACCTAGTCATAACTGATAAATACCATTCCAAATGAACGTATTATTAGTTCCCACCCCAAAAGCTAATTGTTTACCTCAGGCTATTTATTATATTAATCACAATTTCCATTTCTTTCCAGAATGAATCAGAGTTTTTCCAGCCCATGTTGTCTTCTCACCAAATATGCATAATTGTTTTCGATTCCTTGATTGGTACTATTTTTACCACTGTGGTCACATGGTTTTTCCTCTAGGAGAAATCAGATAGAATAAAATACCAGGTAGGAGAGCCCCTCCTTTGCTGCTTGCTGGTCTTTCTCTCTCCTCCTTGCAGGAGGTCTGCAGAGCCTATTTCCTTCCTCTGCAGTCTCCAGGCTCTGAGCCCTGAGAGAGACAGCAGTTTATTGCACTCACGTCAAAGGTCTGCATCATTAACTCTCCGTGGGGAGTGCCGGTCGGTGACAGTGACAGGATCCAGATTGAATGGAGAGATTCATCGTACTAAATTTAGACACAGGCTCTCTATATTTAGTTCAGATCTTTTTTTTTTTTTTTTTTTTTGAGACAGAGTCTCACTTTGTTGCCCAGGCTAGAGTGAGTGCCGTGGCGTCAGCCTAGCTCACAGCAACCTCAAACTCCTGGGCTCGAGTGATCCTTCTGCCTCAGCCTCCCGGGTAGCTGGGACTACAGGCATGCGCCACCATGCCCGGCTAATTTTTTTTTTATATATATATTAGTTGGCCAATTAATTTCTTTCTATTTATAGTAGAGACGGGGTCTCGCTCTTGCTCAGGCTGGTTTTGAACTCCTGACCTTGAGCAATCCGCCCGCCTCGGCCTCCCAAGAGCTAGGATTACAGGCGTGAGCCACAGCGCCCGGCCTAGTTCAGATCTTAAATAGGAAAATTTTCAGCCTGAGGATTTATAGATCTAG